AGAAAGAAAGAAAGAAAGAAAGAAAGAAAGAAAGAAAGAAAGAAAGAGATTTGGCATAAACATACAAGTTTAAAACACATTTTGATAAACTCCATGGTATTTTGGAAGTAGTAACACTGAAAAGTAAATTAATAAAAGAGATACGTGTGAGGTAGAAAACTGCTATTTTTAAAAGTGAAATTTGTTGCCATTTTTAATTAATTTGGATATATAGCACTTTTATACATGCGAGATATTATGCAGCTAAGTACAATTTGCAGTCATATGCATTAAACGAAAGTGGAGAAGGCAAAACCACATCTGGATGTATTGTATCTAGTGTATTTGAGGACGTGTATTGTAAGCGAAGTCGCCCTAAGTCCTCAAGCTACCCAGTATTAAAAACACACATACACGCACAAGCTATAAATCATTTGTTTTTTTACACTGTATTAGGGAATTTCGCCAGGATTGAATCAATACATAATCAGTTCATGTCGCTGGACATGATTTATTGTGTAGTAAAGAGCTTTTTATGCTCAGTGAAGGCTGAGGTAACTAAATCACAGTCGTTCCCTGGTAATCGATTGGACAGCGCATCATGACGGTTCGAGATAAGTAGCCAATACTGCTCGCGCACGCGCTGCTCGCGAGCCTCCCACAAGCACACATCAGCACGGGACGCTTTTTCTCTCGCCCCAACAATAGAGTGGCTCATACCATCATCCCTGGCTGCCATGGGGACGTCGCGCTCCGAAAATGTGTCGTTCCACAATTGTTACGCGTGAGAGGTAAACACACGGCACCCGTCAGCCAGCCCGGGTTACGGTTTTTGCTACGGAACACGTGGTGATCTTGACCGGACGCTATTAAGCGTCAGTTTAATCAGTGGAAACGCAGAGAGTCCCTTCAGAAAAAAAGTGACTGGATTCTTCTTCGCCGCCGCCTCTTGTAGCTGGAGTGCATTGATATCAGAAACTGTGCAGCCATGGATCTGACCCGGAGATTTAAATTCTTGGACACTGTGGCACGCTCTGCTGCTCAGTGAGGATGGGAAAAAAATAAGTGGAATTTTATCACACGTATCAGGTAATACATATATATATCTATATTAACATATTGTGCTAAGATTATGTTTTTAAGTTGAAAATCTGACTTGCATATCTTTAACCTCGTCGCATGTCAACAGAGCAGCTGTTTGCAGCCCAAGAAGTGATCACCATGTTGTAACATCAGACTTAAACTGGAGCTGTGTGACTAATAACGGTCTTGGTAATTCTACACTGCATGGCCATCTCGGGCTCCCTCATTAATCCTGCATACAGGTGAAAAAAAAAACGTGGCACGCTCGAATCCATAAGTGATTGAATCCATAAAACAAGGGGAAATTCTATATTTATTCATTAAGAAACAAAATGCGTGTTTTTTTTATTTTCACGGGAACACCACAGCTCGAGAAAATGCAGCCTCCACATCTGCATGAGCTCCCGCTGCAGTGTCTTGACATCCAGTCAGGATCACGTTGGTGAGAAAACCTCAGAGCCTATTTGCAGCGTCCAACCGATAATCGCTCATAATCCTGTGTGTCCGTTTTGTGGTGCGGACGAAACGGTCGAGTTTCAGTCACTTGCACACCACGATTAAGCCCCAAAAGCATGCCGATCATTTCCCATCAGGAGTGCACGGCGCACTTCCTTGCATCTCACGAGTGGAGCCGGGGTTTATTCCAGCCCGCTTGGGTTGCTCTCTGCTATGGGGGAGGGGGGGGGGCGACATGGTCGCCTGCAGCCGGGTGAAAAATCGTGGTTTGTGAAATCCGAAACCTTCTTTGTACTGCTCAAAGTGCACCAAGGAAAGTGCACTTTTACATTCACACAGCTTCAGGATTCTAGGATTGATTGATTGATTGATTTATTTGCATTCCCTGGTGCCAGAAGGTGTGTTTGGTGTTTGACTTGCAGTTATTTAACCACAGCATTTTAATGTAAACTACACCTGACTGGGGGGTTTGGTTTGCCTGGTTTAACAGGAAGACCAGCCAGAAGTGTGAATGGAGCTCCAGCTCCCTTCCTGCTGACGGCTGAAATATCTTGGGGAAGCACTGGCCGCAGAGCCGGTTATGAAAATCTAGCCACGTAGTGGTGCCTGCTCCTTACAGCAATCCAACCGTGAGGTCAGTTTCTGTCTCTGATTTACTGTTGCTGCCATATGCAATGATGGCGCACGAGACACACAAATCGGGTTGTGACGCTGAGAATGTGGCCACGTGTGACAGCTCAGTGGTCGATTTGGCAAGTTAACAGTGAGATCGGATCTTTACTTTCTCTCTGTGAGTCTCACAAAAGTCTTCGCCTCTTTTCATTTGTCGCCACAGACAAATAAAATGACTGTAACAGGATATTTGCTGGAACTGCTGACTCAGCTATATTTCCTGCACTGCTCGGAGGGATCATGCGTGCACACAGAATGTTGACTGTATCGGCTGGATTGATCTTCGCTTTGAATATTAATGGTTTAAATGATGCTGGCAAACGGAGGGATTTAGCTCTGTCAGCTACAAGCGAATCAGGGTGAAATAGTCTGCCGTACACGAGCTACACAGTAGGTGCTCAGGTCGTCCCCAGAGGTGTGTTCCCACAATAGAACAGAACATATCCTGCTTTTGTCAGATGTTTTCTGTGAACCTTTGGCTTTGAGGGATGGCATTTCTGCAGAGTTGGCCCCTGCGAGAGAACAGTTTTGGCATGGCTGCCGCGGAGGCTTTCTGGACCTCTCTTGTTTGTTGACACCGCTCTGATCTTCTGCCAGTCTCCGGCTTTCTCATGCTAGCATGAACAGAATCTCTCTTTTCTATCTCTGTCTTTTGTCTCCCCGCCCTCAGAGGTGGAGTGGGGTTATGGGAGGACACGGAGTAACACGGGGCGTGATTAAAGAGACGAGGGGGGGAAAAGACGAGGAGGATTTGGGGAAGGAGGTGAGCCGGGGATCCTGTGAAGGGCTGAGCGGAGCAGAAATGTAATGTGTGTGTGTGACGCGCGGTTCCCGTTTAGGTGCCATTTAGTGGAGCCACAGACGGACCTCCTATCTCCCAGCTGTTGGGATGCTCCCAAGAGTTCAGCACACAGGAGCCATTGTTCCTCCTCTTGGCCAGGCCCGGGGCTCAATAATACGGCCTCTGTCCGCTGACTGAACTGGTCTGACAGAGAGACACCAGGGCACAGTTCAGCCCGTCTGACTGGAGCTCCTTGTGTCCTACCACTGCCTCCGATACCTACCAGGAGGTAACAGCAACTGTCACTGTGCCGTGTGCCTGTTCTTCATAACAGGAAGAAGTCCTCATTCTCACTTTCCAATAATCCGCTAAAACTCCTGAGATAAGAGTCGTCGCCGTGCTCCTCACTCTAACTCTCCCTATCTTGTCTTATGAAGGGTTTTGTGTCATCTAACATTTTTAATCTTACTTTGGAGTGGAGTTCACGCCTGTCTCGAAAGACCGACTCACTTAGATTCTTTAGCACTATCACAGCTGTGCAGTATCATTCAGAAATGACCTCTTTCTTTTCTTTCATCACGTTTTAGTCTGCCTAATCTCTTTCTTCATGTCTTAAACAGCAGCCAGTCTGTCTCTTCATCCTCTCTGCCTCATCTTTTTTCACTTAGAGAAGGAGAGGGCGCTGACAGGTTCTCATCAGGGTATCTCTGAAAAAGACATGCCTGGTTGTCTCTGTAGGACTGTCGACATGACAAAAAGACAGATGTTCCAGCTGAGTTGAAAGGGCCCCCCCAAAGGTACCCAACTGTGGGAACTCGGTCTCATCTGTTGATCCTCTTTCATTTCTGATTTAGCTCCGTCACAAGCAGAAAACACGGTGTATATTTATTCCCAGCGTCGTCATCCATTTTGCATCATTTATGAACTGTAATTTCAGGCAGTTTGTCTTGAGTTACACAGCAGGTCCACCCTGTTTATGAGGCAACATCCACATTTTACCTCTGATCTCCACAGCAAAGAACTGGTTCCTTAACAGCGTGTCCTACAGAAAAAAAATGAAAATTAGGAAAACGTCGCCATTATATAACAGCTCGTTATTTGGGGAATGGAACCCCACAGTGTCCTGTCCCTGACCTGGTTTAGACCATTAGCTAAAAGCCAAAGCAAGCCTCAGAATGGAATAAACTATGGACTGTTAAAGCCACTCCCAGGGTGTCATGTGTACATTTGGATGGTGAATGGAGTCTGATCCCCTTCACAGCACGGTGCCGCCTGGATCCGGTCTGGGGCAGAATTGGATGCCTCTTGGCCAAAACACTGACGGTAGGCGTATTTTGAGCTGTGTAATTGTGTTCCTTTGTGTTTATGTTGGTAGTTAAGTTGTGACGAGATGTGCTTGTCCTGGTCATCGAGGTATCTTATACCTTGCTTATCAAGTTAAAAAAAACCTCTCTGTTGACTTGGAGCTGATCTCCTTCCAGAGCATATCTGTATTTGAATAGATTTTAATATGCAAAGTTAAGCAAAAGACTGAATTTCACCCTGACGGCACATGCTCTTCTCAGTTCCCCGCTTTTTGAATACCGTCTTCTTTGGCGTTACAGACCTCAGTCTCCCGTTTCCACTTGTTAACTCATTGGTTCTTGTGGAGCCACAATGGCCGACACCATTATCATGGTGGTCACACCTTAAGATTGATGAAGGCTGGCAAAGCGGGAGACAAGGCGCGTTTATCACATCGGCAGCTTAAATCCCCCGTGTCAGGATTTGCGTCTGCTTTATTCAATTACATGCACGTTAAATTTTCACCAGGATTATCACCAGTCTTAATTTTTCTTCTCTGCTGCTCTCCTAATGTCGAGCAGGCGTTTTGGGAGCTGCGAATAAAAGGCGCAGAAAAAAAAAAATGGCTGAAGG